CAACATCTTGTTCAGTTATAATACTGCTGATGATCTGATGACTACAACTTCCTCTGCAAATAGAAAAATAAATTTAAAAAATTAAGCTAATTTTTTTAAATACTCAATTTCATAAGGTTGGTGAAAGTAAGGTTAGAGACCTGCCTAAGTCACAGGCAAAGACACTGTTTCTAAAAAGGCAGTAATAGGGAGCAGGAATGAAAAGATGGTGAAATTCAAACCAGAGCAATTTGAAAACAGCTAGGAAAGCTCATTGAAAACTAATAAAACTGGAATATTTGTCAAAATTCACCTTTTTTATAAGCATGCTCTTGAAGTTGCATACAAGATGAATAATTTCAAGCCCTAAAATCATGTTGGAAAGACTACTCAAAAATCTAAGATTTCATGAACTTAAGTTTTTTCAAAGGACTAGACAATAGTTTTTATTGCAACTTAAATTTTGAATTAAAATATCTCTTAGTCTTAATTTTTATTTCTAAATCAAGTCCTGAGCAAACCTTTTCTTTTCCCACAATTGTCTATGAAATTTTGGTTTCAATTTTATGTGGACTCTCTCTGAGTGGTCTCTTCTAGTAGCACCAGCACACAGCTGTGAGAGAGGATTGCGTTTGGATGTTGCCACCCCTAGCACATCTCCTGCCATGTCCCACCACCCTCTGAAGGCTCTCAAAGAAGCCTATGGTGTCAACATGGCAGTCTTCTGTTCACGTTCATCAACAACACTTTTTTCAAAGAGAAAAACAAGTGCAATGCTGCACAGAGATCTTAATGAAGACAAACTTCATCTGAAGATATGTCCTTTAGCATGACTTCTTTTTGGAAGTCCCTTTCTCCCAGAGGAGTAACACAATGGAAAGATACTAATTCTTCTGCACTAGGAAATGGCCATTTAACCCTTAGGGTTTCCATAACTAAATTATAGTCTGTGCCAGACATTGCAATGTCCAAAGAGTAAACAATGACCATGTATTGCTGCATGTATTATATACAATATTCCACAATGGTTTTTGTCCTCTCTTACCTTTTTTCCCCTCACATAACCATGGATTGGGTAATAAAAGAGAATTTATAAAATATTTTTTCACCTATATTTCTCTCTTTAATGTTGAAATCAGTAAAAGGAGAAACATATAATACCAACCTATTTATATTTTATTATGTAATACTTCTAAGAACATATTAAAGTTCAATATTCTTTGAAACTATTCTATGGTCTGTGAATATCTTTTATCCAAGGATATTTACTTTATATCATTGGTAATTGTATATTATAATCTTGTGTTTTTCAAATGTGACAAGGTAAGTAGCTTTGTTTCCATTTTAGTGATGCCTTTAACGAAAAATTCAAATACATTCATCAGAACACCAAAGGTAATTTTTTTTTCTTGATCTCCCTGTCATGTTAGTTCAACTCTAATTCAGGCAAATTCCTGACAGATATCAGAGTGCTATTTACTGATTATCTATTCTTCCCATTGGGATCATAAGATTTTAAGTGAAAAAAATCTAAAAGATTTATTGCTAATGGGATTCTACAAATGTTATCTTTGTTCCGAGCAAAAGTAATATATGATTCTGGCTTTGCAGAGCATCTTTCACATTCCTTTTTTTGAATATGTATAACTCATTTAGAGACCAGAAGAGATAGTAACTCATCATTTTTGCCACCTACCTTAAAATATCTGCATTTTGTCTGTTTGAAAATAATATAAAGTTGGGATTTAATTGATGTCATAACTTCAATTCATCACCACATTCATCGTAAACAAAGAGGTTCTGAATAATGAACAAAATGCTTATTGTTCACCAGAAGAAAGGTCATAGCGTGTTATATTTACATTTATGTTGCTTCTTATTACCAAGTCTGTATAAACCATCGCCCTTCATTATTTCTGAATGGGAGACTGATGATAAGTGCTATTTTCAAGAATTTTTAAATCCTTTTTATTTGTCTAGTTAATCTCTGTGCTGAAGCATTATAAGGCTAACTCTATGTTTTGCTTGTTAGTTTATTAGGGATTTGTAACTCCTAAAAATCAAGAATGAGTTCCTAAATGTAACATTTGCTTGGGTCGACAGCTTCAGGGAAGAGAGGTCAGCAGCCCTAGTGAAGGAAGAAGAAATCTGTCTGTGTGATCCTAATTTGCTTTGAATAATAGACACTGGGCTTAGAATCGGAATGATTTGTTGTGAGGTTAAACAGCAGGGAAGCTTATGGCTTATTATTTTTACTCCTGATACAACTAAAGCAATGGGTGAGTAATGAGAAGGCCATAGATAATCAAAATGATACTAGGCAGTGAATTGTGTGTGCCTGGGCGATAGTGCGGGTTTATCAGGCTGTGATAGCCAGTAAGCTAATACAAACTATAAATATTCAGATTAGTAAAATCTTTATTACATCTGCAAATAGCTACTGGCATGTTTTTCCTCTCCCACTTTATAGTTTTTAGAATTCAAGCTCTACCTTATATTCTAAAGAGATTTAAATTAAAAGAAAGTGTATCACATTGTGATAAGAAAATGGAAATGTCCCTAGGGAAAACTAACAGTCACACAATTAAAGCATTACCATTAATAACGGATTCTTTGTTGTTCTGGGACACCTAGGAGTTGATTCCTTACCTAGGACAAGTCTATCCAGCTTTCTGTGCCCCCTCTTCCCTCCCCACCCATTCCAATGAATTTAGCTTGTCCAAGCTTTCTCATTTGCTGTGCTCTGTCCCTTGTTTAAACTAAAGAGAATACAGGATCAGTCCTCTTTTTTCTCAACTCTAAAGTCTCTTCAGAATCCAATTCAATGAGATTGTATTTGTTACAATGAGTGCAGATTGTTCAATGGGGCAGATTTAAGAAATGCTGAAAAGAGTTCAGGGGTTCACAGGGTGGGGGCTAGCTGCATAGTTGAGGAGTGCAGTTTTACACATCACCCATGTTTGTTAAGGTCTAAAAGCACTGAAAAGGATTTGTTCTGTTTGTGTAAAGGGCCTCCGTGCTCTGGGTATCTAAGATGTCACATGAGCTTTCCCTTGATCTTGGGCCTGACATGACCAAAATGCAGGGGAACTGACCCACACTGTTGCTCCAACACAGCGTCTAGGAATATGCTACCTAAACAGTCAGCTCTCTGCAGTTGGCACTTTCTTTATTTTATATATGTATTTGGAAAATTGTTTCTACATATAATGTTGCTTCAGACCACCATTTTATTGACTAAATATTTTCACTTATCAAATCAACTGTTATTAAAAGATCTGACATCTCCCAGGAGAAGGAAGATCTTAAACCACTTAATAAAACTTAAATTGCCAATTATTATAGTCACTGACAATATTAACAGCCTTGAAGAGCGTTCCAAACTATAGGGCTGTGTGTTATAGTTATGAACTGCCAGTCATAGACCTGGCTTCTATGGCTTGCCTCCATCATTGCCCTACATTCTGATTGGAAATTCATACAGTTCCACTGCACTACTTCCTAGGAGCATGACCAGAAAGCTTAAGATATTTCAACAATATCTTGGCAGTGTCTTCTCTGTTTTCTGCCTCACCTCACCTACCTCCTCCTCTTCTGTTTCAGTATCCTCCAAGGTTAGGGCAAAAGGGACAGCTAGAGGGGTATAGATGGAAAGGACAAAGGTTTTCTTGATCATTGACTGATGGCACATGGCCCTCTCTTTAGATTCTATCTCATGGTCTGCTTTGGAGACTCCTAGGATTCCCAGACTGGGGCCTGTGTTCTGCTCCTTCACTGCATAGGCACTACACATTCAGACTAATGAGTTTTAATTCTTCCTCAATCTTTAATTTAGTGCTTCACCTCTTGGGATACCTGCCCCTTGTGGGCAGCATTCAGAGTCCTTTCTAAATGTCTCTATTCATCAACACTTCAGGTACCCAGGTGGCCCTTGGCAAAGCACAGTATCAATCCCTTCAAGTATGAAACTGTCCCACCACAGCACTCTCTTCAGGCTCTGCTCCAGTTTAGTGGCAGTCCCGGACCTGGAAATCGCAGAAGGCCATAAATATTCCGACTTGGGAACAATACTTGTGCATCAGTCTTCCCTTCCTGTGGACCCCTAAAATGTTGGAGGCATCTCACCTGTCTGGGTGAAGGGAAATCAGGAACGCAACAAGCTTTATTTTCAACAAAATGACAACTCCATTTAGAAAGTAGGCAAGGGATCTAAACAGACAGTTCCTCAAGGAAGACATACAAATAACCAATTCATTCATAAAACGTTGCTTAACAACATCAGCCATCCTGGAAATGCAAATCAAAGCCACAATGAGATCCCACCTTCCTCCCACGTACTTCCCACCTACTAGATTGGTTGTCATCAATAGGACAGACAATAGTAAGTATCAGCAAGGTTGTAGAAAATTGGAACCCCCATATACTGCTGGTGAGAGTGTAATGTGTCCTGCCACTTTGGAAAACAATCTGGAAGTTCCTCAAAAGTTTAAACACAGAAGTGGGCAATTAGTCTAGTGTTTAAGATGCTGGTTAAGATGTTCACATCCCATATTGCAGTACCTGGGTCTTGACTTCAGCTTACTGCTAATGCAGACCTTGGGAGGCACCAGTGATAACTTAAGTGGTTACATTCCTGCCACCCACATAGGAAGCCTGGATTGAGTTCTTAGCTTCCAACCTGGCCCAGCCCAGACCATTGTGGGCATTTGGAGAATAAACACAAAGTGGGGGAACATTCTGTCTCTTTCTGTCTCTTATTTTTCTCTTTCTCATTCATTCTCAAAGGGTAAAGCAGAGTCACCTTATGACCCAGCAATTCTACGCATGAATATATGCTCCAGAGAAATGAAAACATAGATGCACACAAAAACTTAGACACAAAGTTTCACAACAGTATTAGTGTTAGTCATAATGGCCAAAAGTGAAACCAACTCAAGTGTCCATCAACTAATGAATCACTAAGAAACATATGGTATATCCACATGATGGAACATTAGTCAACAATGAAAAGAAATACTCACGTGAAATGGAAAACACTATGCTTAGCAAAAGAAGCTATCCACAAAGGCCATATATTGTATGATTTCATCCACTTAAGTCATCTGCAACAGAAGCAGATAGTGGTTGAGTGGTTGCCTAGGATTGGGGTAAGGGAATGAAGATTGAGAGATGATAGGTATGGGGGGTGAAGAATTTCTTATTTGGGATTATGAAAATGTTCTGAAATTCATTGTTGCAATGGTTAGCCAGCTCTGTGAATATGTTTAAAGCCACTGAATTATAAAATTTTTATGCATTAAGTGAATAGTACATGAATTATATCTCAATCATGCTGTTGGAAAACATATTCTCACTAACTTCCTTGAGAAAACTATAGGATTTTCTTCTGTATATTAGAACAAAAAAACTAGTTCTACCCCGAGGATTTTTCTTGCACATTTATTAGAATGTACAGCACCTATTTCTGATTTTCTCAGCTTTGGGGTCACAACCAAGAGTCCAAGACAGAAATAGAATCCCATTTAATAATCTGTTAAATTACTATGAGTCAAAAACATTACTCATAGCATTTCATTTGTCTTTTCTTCATGCTCCAATTTCAAGATAATAATTCAACTTCCAAACTTTGCAGAATGGTGAGTATATTTTATAGGCTGCATTACTCTCCCAAGTGATTTAGTCTCCCATAACTCTTCTGGTTATGTATTTCAATTAAAGGAATAAGTGCTAATCTTACAATAAACTCAATAAACTTTTGGTGACTTCCCAACTGACTATTCTAATAAGAATGTAGTTTATTATTTCATGAATGCCTACATACTAATTCTTCCAAGGTAAGTACTGTTAAACAATCATTTACAGATAAGGAAACTGAAGCTCAGAATGGTTAAGAAAATTATGCAAAACAAATCAGCTAGTGTGTTAATGAATCAAGACTCAAATCTACAGCCTCTGTCCCATTTTCACAAAACCCCAGTACAGGTCACCATGTCAGTATTACCTTCTATAAAACCTGAACACACTTGCAAATCAAAATACCCATGGCATCAATGAAATTTAAAATGTAATTCCTTTACAAATATATTTATTTACATAAAAGAAACCTTCCTTTGACAAATCACTTAGCTTTCTGCCTATTTCTTCATTTGCAAAATGCAATATTCTGGTTATAGTTTCAAGTCCACTACATTTCTAAATGATCGATGTCTACTGAAATGTTTGTTACTTTAGATGGGCATCTTTTCTTCCACCTTCTATTCTGTTTCATTCTGGAATTTACTAGAGAAAATAAGACTAAACCATAGTATTAAAGTACATCATAGGCCAAGCAACTGCAAAGTAAATGAATGAAATTAATTTCTATCAACTAAATTAGCCATCATTCATAGCTATGAACTGACAATCAGGGAGCAACTATGTTTGAGAAAAACCAATGGCAAGAAGGAGAAGGATGGAAATTAACAGAAATAATTTGACCTTTACACAACTAGGAAAATACTTTTTAAAACTTCTAACCAGTTTCCTCAGAGAGACAAAAGAAGTCACTACACGTAAAAGCCTAGGATAGGCCATAATAAGAAAGCAGCAAGGTATTAAATTATAATATACAATAAAGAGGCACTAAAATGTGTATGACAAAATAGAAAATTTAGTATCAAACTAAATGATAGAAGAATGCCAATAAATAAGTTGGTAATCAGGAATGTATAGTATGGGAAATTTCCTGGAACTAAGTGCAAAGAGAGAGTGGGAAAAGAGGGAGTAGATAAAGAGGAAAAACTTAAGTGAAATGTTAAGAGATGTGGAAATCCAGCATCCATGTATCAAGGCATTAAGAGGGAGTAAAGATCAAAAGGGTAAAGAAAACTGAGTCAAAAGAGAGACAGTTTCATGAACTTAAGAAATATTTTTAAAACAAAAAGCAAAATTAGAGCAAATGATGATCATTGAAGTTAACTTTGCATGCTACAAAAAAATTGGAGTAATATCTCTATTTCCTCTAATACTAGGAGCAAGTAATTTTGATCCCATACTTTTCTACTTAAATGTAAAAGCAAACAATTTATCAGGCCAAGTCTAAGAAAACTTACCATCCAAGCCACTCCCACAAAAAACATTCATTAAGAAGGATATTCAAGAAAAATTAAATAGTATACAAGTTAGATGATGACCTAATATAAAAGGAAACTCTACCAAGTGTATATGAATGAAAGGAAGTGAAGAAAGTTCGGAAAATTTAAGGAGAATCTGATATACCTTCATTCATTATGCTAGGAATATTTTCCTTCATCCTTGTTCATACTTCCTCTTCTATGGATTCATTCACAGTATTTTGTTCTGTAATAAATAATATTCATGTAGTTTTAATATTATAAAGGTATAGTAGTTTTAAAATTTTAGAGTAGGAAAGCATCCAGTCTTGGTTTTACTGAATTATAAATATGTAATAGAATGTAAATAATATAAAACTTGAAAAAATAAAAATTTTATAACCAAAAACAATCAACAAAGTCACATTTCAGTAGCCATTATTGAAGTTAACAAACTATAAAAAGATATTTAAAGTCATTAAGATAATATTATAACACAAATTAGCAGAAGCCAAGAATAGAAACAGAATGTACTGATGAGAGTCATTAGACATTTTCTAAAGTTGATAAATCTACAAAGAAATTGATAAAATGTATTAATTGTATTTATAATTATAACTATCAGCATTGTTGAAAAAATGGAAAATGTTAAAAATGCCTTTCCATTTTAACCCTTTCTACATGGGCTGAATTTTTATTAAGCAGTACAGATATGACTTTAAACTTCTAAAATGTTCAGAAAATACACCAAACTATTAATCATGGGTTTTTCTCTGAGCAGGAGAAATTCTAAGTGATTTGTCCCACTTTTTCACATTTTGCTAAGTTCCAAATTTCCCATGCACAATATTTTCTTACTCAAAAAATACACTAAACAATTCTTAAGCCTTTGATAAAGCCATGTAAGATGATTTTGAGAATGCAAAATAATTAAAATTAATGGCATGAAATTATGACAAAATATAAAGTTTCTCCAAGAATATACCCCTCAACCCCTTCCCCAAGTCAGCATCAGGAGAAAATGTCTGTCTACCATCTCAGTAATAGTACTAATAGCCAATAACAGCTCTGACCACTCAGATGCTTCACTAACTGTCTTCCCTTGGTGGTCCCCACATGTGCAAATTCTTGTCTTCCACTTTGTATATTCAGGAGTCAAATTCCCAAGCACATTCAGGATTATAAGATTCTGAGTAACTAACTCTCATTAACCCAGCAGTAGAAATTGGAAAATCATCAAGAACAAGTTTACTAATGAACTCTCAGAAATACAACTGCCAAAGTTCCCATCAACAGACTCATCTGCCCTCCCGCAAATAGCTGTGGAGACATGTGGATGGGGAAAATAAAAAAAGGTGAGGATTTGCTGAGCATTCCATGTGCCTGAATTCTAAGTATCAGATTCTTCTTTGTCTTTTTTTTTTTAACTCCATCCTTTATATCCTCATTCTGTTACCCACCCTTATTATGTCAGTAATACCTCATTGACAACCTGTTAAAATTTAATTAACTGGTTTATTCACTTTAATCTTCATTACAATCGGTGTCTCCCTGCTGGATTTGAAGAAATGTGTGGGGGCAAAGTGATGGGTGGAAAATACAACCAATTAAGACATAAGAACACATTTCAGCACCACGGTAAACAGACGATGTGTGCCTCTCTTGCAGATGACTAACCACAACCATTTTATCTTGACTCCTATTCATTTCCACTACAGAGAGAAGCAATTGCAAATCTTACCACAGAATTCTAGGTGTTCCTGAAACCTAGAGCTCAGAGAGGCCTACACAGTGGCTGTGAAAAACAATCAATGGAGTTCCTGCCCCTGAAACCAGATCGTACGTCTTGAAAAGTGTACGTGCTGTCTATCCGCAAAGGTATCCTTGTTATGGATGTTGTCATGTCCAATTGACTATGATGGAAAAATCTGGTTCACTACTACCAGCAGAAAAGGATCATTTGTGTGACTGTGGTTAGATCTGACAGCTAAGAACAATGTGTACAGGCTCTTTCTTCAAGAAGACTGGCAGTAACTTCAGAAACATAAACTGAATTATCCAATGGGTTTCTTTCTGCCCTGAAGTTCTGTGAAAATAGAGTAAATACCACTAATTCATTAAAGAAATATCTTGTAGATTATATGAATGTTCATGAATATTTCATAAAGTGATTAAAATTGTTAATCTTGTTTCCAATTAAGTTTAAGTAAAGCCTTAAAGTGCACATGTAAATAACAGGTAATTATAATGTTTTATTATGTGCCATTTATATAATTTAGTCATTAAAATTGCCTTTCTGATGTGATACATTTCTGAGGGCCCTATGTCATTTGTTTGTTTTTTGTTCATTTGGGAGGGGAGATTGATTTTGCTTTTGTTTTTCTTGTTTTAATTTATTTGAGAGGCAAAGAGACAAAGAAGAAAGAGTTCCCATCCTCTGGTTCACTGCTCCAATAATCACATCAGCTGGGGCTGACCCAGGCTGAAGCTGGGAACTCAATCCAGGTCTCCCACCTACACAGCAGAGACCCAACAAACTTGAGCCATCACCACTGCCTTCCAGAGGCTGCATTGGCAGGAAGCTGGAGTCAGAAGCCAGAGCAGGTATAGATCCCAGGTACTACTGATGTGGGATGTGGGCATCTTATTTTTTATTTTTTTTAAGATTTATTTATTTATTTGAAAGTCAGAGTTAGAGAGAGAGGAAAAGACAGAGAGAGACAGCAGATGGGGGTGAGAGGAAAGAAAGAGAGAGAGAGAAAATCTTCCAGTTTTCCAGTTGCTGGTTCTCGCCCCGAAAAGGCCACAACCCCCCAGGACTGGGCCAGGCCAAAGCCAAGAGCCAGGAGCAGAGGCCTAAGTACTTGGTCCATCTTCTACTACTTTCCGATGCATATTAGCAGGGAGCCAGATCAGAAGTGGAGTAGCCAGGGCTGAACTGGTGCCCATATGGGATCCCAGGGTAGCAGGCAGTTTAACCTGGTACAACACAACGCTGGCCCTGGGTGTGGGCACTTTAATCAGAGCACTAACTGCTATGCTCAACATCCTCTCCCATGTTTGATTTTAAGTAGAAATTCACTTTTTTTGCAACTTTGAGATAGCATTAATTTTGAGACGGTTTTGAGTGGAAATTTGGGGGGATATTAAGGAAAAGGAGGATAGATTCTAAGAGTGCAAAGACTGGCCCATCTAAGAAAACCATGTTACCGAAGTTCTAGATTTTGCTCCTCCACCAGTCTGCTCAGCTGTTTTCAGTGTATCTGCTCTAATTGAGAAAGTTATCATCTGTGAAATTAGATACAAAGGTAATTCTACTCTTTTTTTTCTTTCCTCTTGCTTTAGCTTTTCTTTCCACTTGACTACTACATACAGACAGAAAGGAACTTAAATGTGGAGGCAATTTAGAAAAATGGAGATTCACGAAGTCAAAAGGAACCAGCTCAAAGGAATTATGGCTTCCTATCTATGTAGCCGTGGGAAAAGTCCTTTCATTATCTGAATTCCAGTTCTTTTGCCTTAAAATTTTGAAGATAATATTTTCCCTACCTACCTTGTTATATTTTTCTTTTGAGACCAATTAAAACACATATTAAAGACATTCTGTAAACTGTTCAGCAAATTATCCGAACTGTACTTCAAAGAGAGGTGATTTTGAGCAAGCTGCTTCAACATTTTCATTTTTTAAGCTTTGTTTTTCCAATGCCAAATGAGAATTGAAACTCCTTCATTTGAAACAAATTCATTTTTCTGATGGCCTAGTTACATATTCCCAATCTTTTCTTTAATGTGCTACTTACAAATGGTTACTTACACATTCAGTGCTGTGCTTGGAGAGAAACAGGATGAGAAAGGTAGTCCAAGTGTCTCAATGAGTTCCACGGCCTTTGTGTCTCATGGCATCTGGTAGGGATTTGTGTGCTTGGACATCCCCCTAAACACATCCCAAGTTCAGACTCTTGAGCCATAGGGATTATATCCTGAATACTCATCACTTCCAAAGAAATGTTTTTGTCAGTAGCTTCACTTACTCTGAAGCGGATTGTTTCCACCATGAGTAGCCAAGTAAAGTTCTGTTTTGCCTTTGCCTGTTGTGTTCTGTGAGAACTAATTCCAGTCTTTGACACAGGAAAGCATATTTATGACATTTGGCTTCTTTGTTCAACAGATTTTTCCTTTCTCTGTTTATGAGTTAGCATTAAATATTAGTGCTGTGTCCTACTGGGTTCCGTTTGTTTAAAAGCATTTGTGTTCTTTGCACTTATTTTGGCCGTTGTTATAAGAAGTTAGATGTGCAGAGGCACTTCTCCAGTGTTGCTTGAGTGCTTTTATGTCCTCTTATAAAAGGTTTCCAAATCAAGACAATCATGTATTTGTTATTTCTGGGTCCATTAAATGCCCAAGTAATTAACACTAGCCATTTTACCACTAACAAAGCATGGAAACCACAATGTTTTTGTGATGTGCTGTTGTTCCAACGTCAGCTTACCATTGCACAGCTCATCTAATCACCTGAGTGACAATACAACAAGATAGGTGCCAAGACCATATTGCCAGGCTTCTAGATAATTCTTACATTGTTTCGAGATGCACATGTTCTGGCCAACCAATAATGCATTAATCCAAAATTTTTTGAATTCTGTAAGAGCAACTCTTAAAGCATGGATAATAGTAGTTAGGTCCGGAAAAGTGTCTACTCTGTACCCAGAGTTAACGTAAACACAAAGGAAAGTTACATTTCAGGAAAGTTCATAACATAATCAGAAAGCAGGATCTAACATTGCATATTCGCCATTTACAAATGCATTCCTTTCTTAAAAGCTGCAATTAATTACAAACTAGTTTTGATGCCGTTTTTGCTTTCCTTAAATATGGAGTGAATTCACCCCATAAACTAATGAACCAAAGTGGAGCCAAATAGAGACCAGCTGGCTGGATGGCTCAGTAATTTTATCCACATGATTGATTTTATGATCCTTTCACTGAAGTAACTAGTCTTTATTCTTGCAATCAGCACCAATGACAATTTGGGAGGGGGTGGAGGAATTATTAAAATCTGGAGAAAGAAGAGGCACTTTTTGTTTGATGTGGAAGAACACATTCCTCCACACACTTCTTTGGCATAATAGGTGCTGAATTCCAGGTCTCTCTGGCTTCCAGAGTAACATACTGATTAGTTGCCACAGAGACATAATAAGCAACCAATGCCCAAATAATCGTTACAGATACTCCATTAACAGCATCTAA